CAAGGGTCTATTACCATTTATGTCTCCCCCACGTCTCTGACCTGATCTCCTACCACCTTCCCCTTGGAGTAAAGCTACAGTCATGCAGGCCTCCTTGCTGCTCCCCGAGTATATAAGTATACTCCTACCCCAGGGCCTTTGCACCTGTTACCACCTAGAATGTTCTTCCTCCAGATAATTACACGACTTGCTTCGTCACTTCTTTCAGGTCTCTGCTCAATTGTCACCTCCTCACAGTTTTCTCTAAACAGCCCATGTGCAATCTTATCTACATGTACACTTGCTGTACCCCCTTACTTTTCATATTGCCTACCCCTTACACTAAAAGCTACCTCAACTCTTTGGCTCCCTCACTATAATAATGACCCTCATCTGCTCCCCTTGGGAGCCAAGAGCAGTCCACACCCACTTTTCTCCTTCCTCACCTCCAGTGTATTTTCCAGCCCAGTGCAGTACAGTATCTGCCGTCCTTCCAGGTTCAATACAGACATTGCTCAGAAGGGTACCAAACTGCTACAACAGACTTTTTTCTTTAATCTTTTTTTTTTTTTTTTTTGCACCGCTGGAGATTGAACTTAGTAATGCAAGGCAAGGACTCTACCACTGACCATATCCCCAGCCTAGCACCTTTTCTTTGTTCTTATCGTACAGGCTCTCTAGTGGCATCTGATACTGTTACCTCCTACCTCCCCAATGTCCATCCTGATAGCCCTCTCTTATGTTGCTCTTCCTCTAGCAGAGTGTAGGTGCAGGTATTTCCCAGGTTCTGACCTTGGACTTCTGTTCTTTATATACTTCCCTAGAAGCCCTGTCCAAATTCAAGGCTTCCACCCCACTGCTGCCATTGTCCCTAAGCCTTAGTTTCTAGCCCCAGGTCTCTTTGCTCTGCTAAGCTCCAGTCTGTTCCACCCAGCTGCTGACTGGACATCTCTGTATCTACAGGTAACTGTCAACTGAAGCAATATCCAACTTACCTTCTTCAATCCTGTGCTTCTCCCCACCTGTTCTCTACTTAGTGAATGCTACCATTCCTGTGTACCTGCCCTAATTCAGAAATATTCCTTTCATCCTCTTGCCCTGATTTCACGTCTTGTTGATTCTACCTCCTCTGTGATGCTCATAAGCCTTCTCCCACTTCATTTTCAGCCCTCCATCGTCGCTCAACCAACAGAACTCATCTCCTGGCCCTTCTCCAACACAGCTTCATTTGGCTGCCAGCATCATCTGCACAAAACACGTATCTGTTCATATCACTTCCCAGCTGTAACTCCTTTAATGGCTCTGAACAGCATTTGCCACAGTGCTGTGAAAATAATTTCCTGGTTTTTCTTCAGGTTGCTGTAAGCAATTTAGTGGCAAAGACAATGCCATTTTCTTAGTGCTTACCACAATGCCTGGCACATAGCAGGTGCTCAATAAATATCCGAGGGGAAGAATTTCAAGTCTTACCAGATGCTGTTCAAGTATGTTCACAGAGCCGTGCAGTGGTTAACAGCAAGGACTTCAGACAGGCCGACTTGGCAGGTCTGAGTGCCAGCACACCCAACTTCCAGCTACTTGGCCTGGGAGATTTCTTATCTTTTCAGTCACAGTTTCCTCAAGTGTTTAATTAGAATACCACCTACCTTACAGAGAATGAGATGATGCACCTAAAGAGTTTACTAGCACTCAATAAATGGTTGCCGTTACAATTATAGACAGCAACCCTTAAACAGGTTAGAAAAGGATCCCAAGGTCTGGGAACTAGAACCACTGAAGCTCCAAGAAACAGGGACTTACTCATTGTCACAAATTACATGGCAAAAATCAAACTTAGAACCTCGTATCAGTGCACAATACCCTGCTATTAAGCTGTTTGGTGCACTTGTTCTTCAGCATAGAGTAAGTGAAAGTACTTTGTGAACTACAGTGATATTGTACTACTATCTACTGTAGAGGTAGTATAATATTCATAGACACACCTGGCATATTGCACTCACAGGTGTTTGTCTCTGAATTTGAACTTGGGCTAATATGCCTTGGGGTAAGTTCAAAATTACAGTACTGTTGATCTTTCCTATTTTCATCTCTAATCATCTATTAAACTAGGAATCAATTTCTCCTTGGAGCCTTGGCTACACCAGTGGTTCTTAAAGTAGAGGGAGGAGTAGCAGTATTCCAAAATACTTGCCCCCTTACCCTTTTTGAGAACCACTTTTTTTTGGTGGGACTGGGGCATGAACACAGGGTTTTGTGCTTGTAAAGCAGGTATTCTTACTACTTGAGCCACACCTCCAGTCCATTTTGCTCTGGTTATTTTGGAGCTGGTCTTGAACCACAATCCTCCCAATCTCAGCCTCCCAAGTAGCTAGGATTACAGGCATGGAGGCACCAGCACCACTTTGCTAAATGAAATTTTAAGAGTCTCATGCTCTACCGACTGAGCTAGCCAAGCGCTCACTTAAATGAAGTTTTAGACCATCAGAAATGTATGGCAGGATATGGTTTTCACACTGCATTCTCTCCTCACCTGCAGCAGAGGGTCTCAGCATTAGAAAACCTCACAGGCTCTGAAAAGAATTCACACTATGAACAAGAGCTCGCATTTGCCTTGCATATATTCCACTTTGAGGGAATGACAATTTTCTAGTTTCATTCAGCTTTCTGACACAATGTCATTAAGTCTTGCTTCCACCAGGTGCCAGTGGCTCACACCTGTAAATCCTAGCTACTCAGGAAGCAGGGATCAGGAGGATTGTCCAGATAAATAGTTTGAGAGACCCTATCTCAAAAATACCCAACACAAAAAAGAGCTGGCTGAGTGGTTCAAGTGGTACAGCACCTGCTTAGCAAGCATGAGGTGCTGAGTTCAAACCCCAGTACCACCACCACCAAAAAAAAAACAACTTGCTTCCATGAATGTTCTCACCAAATAGGACTTGCTGAGATCCTGGCAGCAATCCATAAGGGGGTTCATCTACCATCAGTTGGATGAAGCCAGGACACTAGGCAGTGATAAGAAAGGAAACCAAAATCAGGGAACCCCTGATACTCTGGCCAGGTAAACTGAGTTCTGACCAGAAAGTTCACTGAACCTGGGTGCCTTTCTAGACATGAATCCTAAAGATTAGGCCAGGTGTGGTGATGCACACCTGAAATCCCAGCACTTGAGACAATAAGCCAGGCCCACTTTGTTTCAAAGATTTGCTTCCATGTATGTTCCCAGTTTTTTGGTGTGGCTTCAAGGGCACTTGCTACCTCTTTATGAGCAGTTATGGGCATTACATGTGGGGCTTCACAGGAACCAACTTTCTCAGAGCTCTTTCAGACACCTGTGTAAATGGATCCCACAGTACAGGACACAAAACCAGTGCTGGCTCTAATTTGGCCACAAGACATACCCTTCTATAAGGAGCCATGACCTTGACTCTGGCCCCTGGAATCAGACCCACCTCTCAAGAGTGTACAAGTCCTGATGTACAGGTGTATTCTCTCAAGACAGTACAGACAGATGCCAGGCACTGATGACTCACACATGTAATCCTAGCTGCCTGGGAAGTTGACATCAGGTGGCTCATGATTCAAGGCCAGGCAAATAGTTTGTGAGACCCTATCTTCAAAATAACCAGAGCAAAAATGGACTGGAGGTGTGGCTCAAGCTGGTAGAGAGCCTGCTTTGCAAGCATAAAACCCTGAGTTCAAATCCCAGTCCCACCAAAAAAAAAAAAAATAGTCAGTAATCCTGGACACAGGTCAGACCTGTGACTCACTTTCCCAAGATGAGGGTGTGTGCCACTGAGGAAGAGCTGGCAGCAATGACCAGGTTGGCGTCACCAGGCACCCTTCCTCCCCCACTACCCCTCCCTCATGCCCACAGATTCACTCTACCTTTCTCCTGGTCACACACCCTATATATTAGGGTGTTCACATGGGTTGGAGTGTCATTTTAGATGTGCTTGTTGATAGGTCGTAGGGATGAGAACAAGGCACCATTTGTGCAACAAAGGCTTCATCAGTATTTTTTATTTGGCAGTACTGAGGTTTGAATTTAGGTCCTCATGCTTGCTAGGCAGGCGCTCTACCACTTGAGTCACAGCTGTAGACCTTCTTTGCACTAGTTAATTTTTTGGATAGGTCTCACATTTTTGCCTGGACCAAGATCCTGCCTATGCTTCCTGTGTAGCTGGGATCAGAGATGTACAACAGCACACCTGGCTTGTTGAGATAGATGTCGCCCTAACTTTTTGCCCAGAATAACTTCAAACCACGACCCTCCCAATCTCTGCCTCCCAGGTAGCTTGGATTACATGGTGTGTACCACCATGCCTGGCTGATTAGTACTTCTTGATGACTTCCAGAGAGCAAGGACCCCAGTTAGTACCATCCAGAGACCCTGGTACCCCCTTACGGACCTATACAACCCACAGTATCTTTTATCACTATTTAACGTGAGGTCAAAAAAGAAACCACCACACAGTTGTTTTCTATTATAAAAATTTATCAAATCATTTGAGTTTGTTTGGGTGGGTCTGGAGTTTTAACTCAGGGCCTCATACTTATTAGGTAAGCACTTTCTCACTTGAGCCATGCCTTCATCCCTATCATTTGAGTTTTTAAAGGCTTGGGTTAGCAAGTTAAAAGGAGACATTAAAAAAAATTAATGTAAATTATTTAATCTACCACATGGAACCTAAGTTAGGTAAATCCTCTATTACTCTAGGTAAGAGGCTGCTTTTCTAAACCAGAAAAGTTGATTTCCAAACTATACTCTTACCTCATTGCCGTGTAACCCTAAGAATTAAGCCTCACCTCTGAAGTCAAAGGTGATATCCTGACAGGTTAGATGCAGACTCTGAGACAAAAGCAGAGTCCATGATACGTGACCATACGTTTTTTTATCTTCAAGGTACTGGGACTAGAACTCAGGGCCTCACTTGCTAGGCAGGTACTCTACCACTTTGAGCCACTCCACCAGCCCTTTTTGCTTTAGTTTTTAGATAGGGTCTCATACTTTTGCCCAGGCCAACCTCAGACTGCAATCCTCTTACCTCCACCTACCAAGTAGCTAGGATTACAGGCATATACCACCATGCCCACTCAGGACACTTTTGAAAGTAAAAGAATCCTGCTAATTACTTAAGAAAGGCATAAAATGAGATAAGCTGGGCAGTTGTGCACATGTGTAGTCCCAGCTACTTGGAAAGCTGAAGCAGGAGGATTATCTGAGTCCAAGAGTTCAAGGCCAGTCTAGGCCTTGAACAAGACCCCCCACCCCCACCCCCAAAAAAGACACAGGGCTACCCTAGTGATAAGGCAGTGTGAGAAACTAAATTTCTCAGTATGCCCTGCCCCCTCAAAGTCAAAAAGCTTGACTGGGACAAAGCACCCTGGGACCCGTGGTTAGCACCATTTATGAGTCAACAGTCTAGGGCTGGGTTCTGACACAAAGTCTTCCCCTCCCATGGACACTTAACCAGACATGGAACACAAGAGCTGACATGAAATTTCAATGGATATTAGGTCTGGGTTTGAGCCTAACTCTCCCCAGTAATTCTAGCTCCTATAGATGTGAAGCTGGCAGAGATGTGCCTTGGTCTACTGTCCCATTTCTCCTCCTGCTGCCTGTTTCTCCACAGCTGCTAGTTTTTCGGGGGGATTCTGGGCCAGGTGCTGTTCCCACTCGACTTCAACCAACTTGTACAGTTCCATGGTAGCCTGGGCATCTTCCACAGAGGAATGTCCATCTTTCCCAGCCTGAACAGGGAGGAAGAGAAGAGCATGAAGCCACGGAGAACTGTTTCTTCCCTACCCTAACAACTCAGTATCTTGCTTGCCCTGCCACCTATGCTGTTTCTTCTGCAGTTTATAGACTGCAAAGACAGAACTATGGTGGGGTCCTACTCCTTATCTCATCTCAGTAAGTCTTTGCTACTATCCACTTCAATCCTTTCTGGAGCAGCTTGTGTATGCCTTATTATTCTAAATTCTGTGGAGACAGAACATTCCAGATCAAAGACAGGCCTTCTGAGTTTTCTACGTTCCCACTTCCTTAACTGCTCTATATTACATGTATCCACAGCTTCCTGCCAGGTAGCCAGCCTGAGTGGTCTTTGCGTCCATTGTGTGTTTTTTTTCTGTATCCACCACTATGTGCTTTCTTTCTTTCTTTTACATATGCCTCAAGCTTTTTTTTTTTTCTCTCCCAGTACCATTTGGAACAATCTGTGAGGTGGAGCAAAGGAATTATTATGCTGCTGTACAGACAAAGAGCCCAAAGCTCTCCCACCAGAGCAGCCTGACTGGAGCTCTAGTGACAGAGGACTTCTGGAATCAGAGGACAGAGAGCGGCAGCAGTAAGAGCCTCTACTGTGCCCAAGATATCTGGGTATGTGTGGGGGGGTAGGGGTGGGGGAACAGAGGAAGAAGCTACCTGAATGTCCTGGTTCAGCAGCTTCTTAGTCAGATGCTTCAGAGACATGGTGATATTCTCCGGGCAGCTGGCCTTCCGGTTGAGGAGGGGTATTTGGGAAGTGTCTCGGGTGAGAGACTTGGGGTGGAAGTACTGCAGGGCTCTGAAGTCATTGTGGATCGCATGTCCCACCACTATCTTCCCTGAGAGTATCTTCAAGATCTAGAACAAACATGGAAGATGTGACAGTGAAGAAGGGAGACACAAAGGCAGAGGCCCTGTATCCTAAAAGTCAACATGCCTCATCAGTCTCTCTGGTTTCTTTTCACCAACTGCCCACCAGCCTCGTCCTTAAAATGCCTTCTCCCACAAATTTTCTTCCTCCTGAAATCTACCTCCTCTTTCTCCAGGTGAAAGATAATTTCCATGAGTAACCCTGTTGGGAGATACATCACCAAAGACTACTTACCTTATTACTCTCTACCCCTTGATGGATTAATTTGCCTTCAGTCCTAAATGGAACTTGCACTGGAGATATTCATGTAACTATCTAGTTCAGTTTTGACTTGCTACTTGAAGTCCTTTAACTTTATCACCATACTGGCCCTCAACTGGAATCCATGAAGTCAAAGATGAACTCCAGAGAGGCAACAGAAGCGAAAAATTAAATGCAAATATGTATAGTGGGAAGGGGATGGAAGCGTCTGCGGTTTTCATCAGACTCTCTGTTTAGTTGCTTCTGACTTCACCTGAACTTTACTGCCTATCAGCCCCTTATCTCGTATGACTCTCTTATGACTACTTGCTGTCTGAGACCCATTCCAGCTACTGCCTCTCCCAAGCTTTTGCTCAGCTGTGCCCTTGTGGGCAGGATGTTCTTCATGCCTAGACTTTTCTTATAACCAGCTGCTTCATCTTTAATGAATCTCCTCCAAGCCACGGTTCAGGTTTATAAAGAATTATTGCAATGGAGTGTGTCTAGAGAAAGCAAAGTGCATGGACTGAAACTACACAGAAGTAGCCCAAGGGTGCCCTCTGGTGGCCTACCTAAGACCAGCAGGCTCTCACTATCCTCTTCCTTAACCTTTCCCAGCTCATCCTTCTTGCTCATTTGTCACACTCCCAAATCCAGCACAGGGTCAGAATGAGTTCGTTTGCTCAGTGAATAAGATGAGAACGTCCACAGTGGCTGTGTCTTTTATGCCCTTCACTACAGGCAACTGACCCAGTTATAATCCTGTCCTTTTCTACAATCAACTCTCCACACTGGCCCCAGACTACTTTCACAGTTGCTGCTCTGTCCATTTCATCACTGGTTTGTTATTTGTCAATGTATATTCCCAGTCCTTAGATCAACCCCACTTGACACCTAAAATAGGTCTTGACTAATGAAATTTGTTTCACCACCTAAATGTACTATCCTGACTTTTACTACTTACAGAACAGGTAAATGGTGCCCTTCTTAATCATTTGATATTCTTCTCCCTCCCTCCACAATCCTTTGGCAACTTCCCAGCTACACCCTTGCTGAAAAAGGTCTCAAGACTTCTCCCCACCATCATGCCCATGCATCTCACCTGGCTCCGAGCAATCTTAAAGGGTGTGGCATTCACCATGTGCTTCTTGCGGATGCCACTCCATCTGGTCCTGTAGTTTACAATGTGGCAGGGAGGACGGATGTACTCATCATAAAGCACATCTCCATTGTAGTTGACAATGCTACATCGAGCCAAGGAACTAACTTGTCCCTTGGGTCCTGTACCCACCATCTCACAGTCAACTGCCACCATCTTCCTTGGCAATTTCTGGGATGCTCCGGAGCACTTATTTTCTAAATGAGCCTGGGTGATATTCTTACAGGGCTTCTTCTGGGAGCCCTTCTTCTGGGAGCAGGCTGGGTGACTTTTAATCTTTGGAAGAGCACTCTGGAACTCCCCTAGCAAATCTATTTTAGCCACAATAGAACCAGTTTTCTTGGAAGGAGCAGGGGTCAACCATGATACTGCTTTCTTGTCCAGGGACTGCTCTGACCCACTGCTGGAAGTAGCTGTCTTCTTTTTTGGGAGTGGAGGGGTTTTCCAAGTGCCATCTACTTTCCTAGTTTCCCCTTTCTTTCGAGATTCTGAGTGCAATCTGGGTATCTTACTAGGGGGCTGGTTCTTTTTATTCAGAAGACCTCTCTGTTCCAAGAGTCGTCGCTTCCTAACAAACTTTTGGTGCTTGGCATTGCCTTCTAATGCCTTTTTGGGAGGTTCCCCAAAATCCAGATTCAGGAGTATGGTAGACATGAGGACAGTGGATGGTGGGAGAGCAGCTGGGAAATGTGGCTTATGGATGGAAGGAAGACGAGGGATTCATTTTCTGTCGAATACCATTGTCCAGGTCTGCAGAAAACCCTGGGGATGAAAGTGATCCTGGTACCTGCACCCATAGGCCTGGGTAAAAAAATAAGATAAGACTTTTCTATAGAGCTTAAGGGAGACATCAGAACCACCCACAGAGAGGGAAAATGAAACTACCGTGAACAGATGGAAGGCAGACTGGTGTGTAAGCAGAAAGCCTGGACTCTAGTAAAACCCCACATTTTATCAGCCAGATGGTCTTAAGAAGGTCATTCCTCTTTCTATGTCTCATTGGTAAAATGAAGGGACTTTGGGTGTTGCTCACTGGTATGTATAAGGAGCTAGGTTCCATTCCTAGCAACAACAAAAAAAGAGGCTGGAGGACCCATCTCATTCTAACTCTCTACAAAGTCTAGGAAGCCAGAACAAGAGAGCTCTGTAATCGAAAACAGTGAGGGGTATGGCATACGTGACCTCTCGATTACCCAGGCATATAACGAGGGCCCCACAAATGAACATACAAATCCTGGCACCCTTCTCCCTCGGCTCCACGTGGAGTGGGGGCCATCTCTACAGGCACGTCACCCAAGTCCTCCCGGGCAAGGGCCTTTGACACCATATACCAGAGACGCTGGGTAAGGAAGACTCCAGAACCGAGGCAGGCCACCTCGGCAAAAGCACACTTTGACGATCCCTGCGATGGAAACCGACCTCGCATGTCCACATACCTACCTCCTAGATGGGCCCCACTAGGAACGGAAACGTCCGGAGCCGGATACGGAAATCGGCGCGCGCCGACGAACCCCGGGACGGCAGGCGCGCGGGTTGGAACGGGTCGGGGGCCGGCGCCCGCGCGCCCCGACTTCCGGTAGCGATGCCAGCGACTCGGAGTGTGTGAGCAGCGGCAGCGGCGGCGGCGGGGGAGGCGGCGTGGGTGGGGGCGGGGGCGGGATGCGCTCCCCGGCCCCTCTAGCCCCGTGGAGGTACAACTCGAAGGTGGAGGTAGGCCGCGACAAACCGGAACAGCAGCGCGTCAAGAACCGAGGCCCCACTTCCGGGAAAGAGGGGAGTGTGCGGGAAGGGCGGGACCTGGAGCTTGGCCCGCCCTCTTCGTGACCGAGGCGTAGCGGCTCAACTCTGTGGCGTCACTGCGGTGTCATCCTGCCCCACGTGTCTCTGACGCCGACACTTGCGCGCTGTGAGACGTCAGGACTAGTGACGTCCCGGGTGTAAGGAGACCCATATTTTTAACCGTAGTCTGGTTTCCCGTCGGGGACCGCATTCAGAACTCTTCCCGTTTGGGCCGCGGAGCTGAGCCCAGCCCCGATCCCGGACCCGTGTGGTACTGACCCTGGAGCCCACTTCACCGCATTCTCTTTCTTTGCCTACGGCTGGATCCCCGGGATGCCGGGCGTCTGCGCCCGGGGTCTGTCTCACGAGGAGAGGAGACAGCTAGCTGTGAACCTCACCCGTGTCCTGGCGCTCTACCGTTCCATCCTGGACGCCTATATCATCGTAAGGCCACAGCGGCGTGGGCGGGGTGCTTCTGATGGTGTGGTTGGATGGGTGCCCACAACAGAGGATCTGGAGCCAGTCTTTGACCTCCTCTATGAGTTTCAGTCTGTACAAGAAAGGCTTAAAACTGGGGTGATACCCCCTTTTTTCCTAATATTTTTCTAACCTTTGTCAGATTCCGGGTAATAAAATGCGTGGACATTTGAGCCGCTCTCTAGTTTTGTTGAGTTCTCCTAGGAACACAGGAGGTGTTCCAATAGCACGCATGTTCGTTCATCCAGGCTTTGAAGAAATTTCTAGTTTTGTGGCATAGTAGACAGTTCACCTTTGAAATCAGACAAAATAGAATCAGAATCTTACTTTCTTTACTATTAAACTTAGGGTCCCCCCTACCCTTTTCACTCCTATTCTGGGTTTCCCCAACAATTTTGGATCCCTATTTGAAGGATCATTGTGAAGAAAAAATGAGCTAATGTGTAAATGGCACTACCATTCACTAAATCGCTCAGATCCCAAACTCGGAAGCCATCTTTAATTCAGCTCTTTCCTTCATTGATTCACCATCCAATTATTCGCCAAGAGGAACCTCTTGGTTCTGCCTTCAGAATAGATCCCAAATTCATGCATTGTCTCTATGTCCTTCGACACCCTTCACCAAGCCACGGTCATCTCTCCTGAGCTACTTCCAAACTGCTCTCTGTATTTACTTCTGCTGCTCCATACCCAGATCTTTACTGAGCAGCAGATTGGGTGAAATGTTGGCTCTTTACCATTACCTGTAAAGCCCTACATGATCTGGCCTCTGCTGCCTCTTCATCTCCAGCAAATTTCATTCTCTTCCCACATTCACTGTACTTATACCTATCTGGCCCCTATTTCTCTTCCACAAATATGGCAGGCATGTGGGCTTTTGCCTGGAATGCTTTTACTCCACTGAAAAGCAGTAGAGTAGATTGGTTAAGAGTAAAGATCAGTAAAATTGGTCTGAAGTACCATGCTTTTTGACTTTGCTTGTTACTTATTTGCAGTGCTTCAGTTTCCTCATCTCTAAGTGGAGGGGAAAAATGCATTTACAACAGTCTCATGGAAAGTATTATATGAGTGCTTGCTTGTTGACTGCCTTTTTTTTTCCAATACTGGGATTTGAACTCAGAGCTTACACCTTGAGCCACTCCACCAGCCCTTTTTTGTGATTTTTTTTTTTTTTTTTTGCGACAGGGTCTCATGAACTATTTGCCTGGGCTGGCTTCAACCTCGATCCTCCTAATCTCTGTCTTCTGAGTAGCTACAGGTGTGAGCCACTGGCGTCCTGTGACTGCATTTTTTTTTTTTTACATGAGTGATTCCCATTGTCATTTAAGGCTCAGCTCACGTGTCCACTTCTCAGATACCTCATCACCTGTCTTAAATCCTTGATTACATAACTCTAATGAGTTTTGACTATAGTATTTGATGTTAGCTAAAATTATTATTACTATTACTGTTATTATTCTGCAGTGCTAGAGATCGAATCCAAGCCCTAACACATGCTAGACAAGCGCTGTACCACCGAGTTACATTCTGAGCCCTGAAATTACTTTTTTAAAAAAATTTTTTAAAGTAAACTCTGTAAGAGCAAGACTCTTATCTCTTATTTGCTGTTTGTATTCCCTGGACTTAGAATAGAGCTTGGTGTATAACCAAAACAAAGCCCCAGAATTTATGACGAACAAATGATGAGTAAAAGTATACAAGTTTTTGTCACATTTTATAATGTCAGGTTATTAAATGGTAAGGTATGGTAGTGTTAGAAATATAGATGTGAAGAAGACATGTCCCTACCCTTAAGAAATTCAGTTGAGCTGGGTGTCGGTGGCTCACACCTATAATCCTATCCACTTCAGAGGCAGAGATCAGGAGGATCAAGGTTCAAAGCCTGCCCAGGCAAATAGTTCACAAGACCCTATCTTGAGAAAACCCATCATGAAAAAGGGCTGGTGAAGTGACTCAAGGTGTAGGCCCTAAGTTTAAATCCCAGTACCAAAAGGAAGGAAGGGAGGGAAAGAAAAGAGAGAAAGAGAAATTCAGTTGAATGGAAACAACACAAAAAAGTGGGGATGTTGCTGAAATGAGAGGTGCATCCAGAATGCAGTCTAGGCTCTGAGAAGCAGAGGTCAACCTTAGAGCTGGGGGAAGCTGGAGCAGGGTTAAGAGAAAAGCTGACTTGAGCAGGAGGTACCAGCTAGTGGCAGCCACTGGCCTTGTGGGGCAGCAGTGCTGGAAAGAGGCAGGTGAAGAGGTGGAGACTTGAAATGGGTCAGGGAAGATTGGGAATGGTAGTACGTAGTGTTCTGCTGATCACTTTTCCCCTTCTCCTGCAGGAATTTTTCACAGACAACCTGTGGGGCACACTCCCTTGCTCATGGCAGGAAGCACTGGATGGACTGAACCCGCCACAGCTGGCTACGATGCTGCTGGGGATGCCTGGGGAAGGGGAGGTGGTCAGGTATGGGTTAGAGGGGCCCTGTGCTGGGGAACTCAAGGCACTGAGACCTGTAGCAAGTCATTAATCACAGAGTCTCAGAAGGTCTTCCTGAGTCTCCGGGATATAAACCGGTGTACTCAGGATGTGATGGGACTATTCACTGGCGGCCTGGGCTGGACTATCTCAGGTACAGGTCGGTGTGGCCACTCACCCTGCTAGCCCTGAAGTCCACAGCCTATGCCCTGGCTTTTACCCGGAAACCTGGCTTTCAGACACCTTCAGAGTTCCTGGAGAACCCCAGTCAGAGCTCCCGACTGACAGCTCCCTTCCGGAAACATGTCAGGCCCAAGAAACAGCATGAAATCCGGAGGCTAGGAGAGGTGAGGAAATGGTACCTGGGAACCCAGGGACTCCTTAAGCCCATTGTCATACTCTGGTTTGAACTCAGGGCTTCACACTCGCTAGGCAGGTGCTCTATTGATTGAGCCACACCGCCAGCCCCTACTACAATGCTAGCTTGATGTTGGGTAGGGATTTTTCCCCTATCCTTTTGCTGAATTGATTGATGGCTATGTCTCTATCACTATCTTATTCCTGTTCTCCCATCTCCACAGTCAGCTTTTGGCTTCACAGCAGGGCTCTTGTTCTGAGGGAGGGATTGAGTCACTGACCTAAGGGGCAAGCAGAGTGGCTTGTACCTGGGCTGGGCACCCATCCATATCCTTCACCTTTCACTCTGGTTTCCATACCTCGTTCTCTCCCCCTCCTTCCCCTGCCCCAGTGCTGGGGTTGGAATCCAGACCCTTGTGCATGGTGCACAAGTGCTCTACCCCTGAACTACATCCCCAACCCTGGTTTCCATATCTCCTATCTTTTTATGGCACCCTTGATCCATCTTTCTCTACCATCTTTGGCTCCACTAGCCTCATTGTGGGTGTTTGTTTGGCTGTTAAGAAACAATAAGCAGGAGACCTTTGCTCCCTCCTCTTTCAGTTGGTGAAGAAGCTGAGTGACCTCACTGGCTGCACCCAGGTTGTGGACGTAGGCTCAGGCCAGGTGAGCCAGACCCCTAACATACTGTCTTTTTGAGTCGTGAGGACAGAACAACTGGAAGGCAGATTATCAGGCCTTAGGTTCAGAGACACAGGTGCTGACAAGAGGTAAAACCAGTCAGGGCAGAAACTAAGCCTTCTGTGGGGTCTGGGACTCAGATGTGTAGGCTGCTAATAGGGAGGGTGACAGTGAATAGGGCACCGAACCGGGCTGTCTCTGTCCTCCCTCTCACAACTCCAGGGCCATCTCTCCCGCTTCATGTCTCTGGGGCTGGGGCTGATGGTGAAGAGCATTGAAGGGGATCAGAGACTGGTGGAGAGAGCCCAGCACCTGGATCAGCAGCTCCTGCAGGCTCTGGAGAAAGAGGAGAAGAAGAACCCACAGGTAGGCCACCATTTCTTGCAGCCTGGAGCACTAGAGCAGGGTCTGCTTGGCTGAATTGGGCACTGAGGCTGAGTTCCCACTTTCAAGTTTCTCATCTTGAGATAGTGTAGTCCCTATGTCTGTTACCTTTTGCTCAAGGTCCCCCTCTTCCTCATAGCCTCCCCACACCTTAAAGGCACTTTCTACTTACAAATTGTCTTCCACATCAGTATGTTCTCACATCAGACTGTGATATTATCATTTTTTTTTTTTTTGCAGTGCTGGGGATGGAACCCAAGGCTTCATGTATATTAGCAAGCACTGAGCTACACTCATAACCACCCCACCACCCCTGCCATTTTCTTATTGATAATGAGTCTAATACCTGACTAAGGACTACATAGAACACTTGCCTAGGACAGTGAGGTCCTGGGTTTGATCCCTAGGCACCACTAACAAAAAAATAATTGGGGGGAGGGGAGAAAAGGAAAATTATCTGACAGATGAAAGATTTACAGTCAGTAATTATGGGCCCAGAGTTTATCCCATGTCCTGATTCATGGTCCAGCCGTGCCTAACTTCTCTCCCACACACGTCTTTGGGAAGTAGCACAAAGGACAAATCCCTCCCTGTGGCCTGAGGTGGCCCAGTGATACAAACAGACTTTCCATCTGCCTTTGTCCTTTCCCCTCCCCACAGGTGGTCCAAAGGGGCCCTCGACACTCCCCCCACCATGTGGTTCAGTGGGTTGACCCCACAGCCCCGTGTGAGGAGCTTCTGCTTCCCCTGGAGAATGCACAGCAGGGTGGCATCCGCTTGCTGCTCACAGGCCTCCACGCCTGCGGGGATCTGAGCGTTGCCTTGCTGAGGCACTTCTGCTGCTGCCCTGAGGTGGTGGCCCTGGCCTCAGTGGGCTGCTGCTACATGAAACTTAGTGACCCTGGTGGTTACCCACTGAGTCAGTGGGTTGCTGGGCTGCCAGGCTATGAATTGCCCTACAGACTCCGGGAAGGGGCCTGCCATGCCTTGGAGGAATATGCTGAGCGGCTACAGAAAGCAGGCCCTGGCCTGCGAACCCACTGCTACCGCGCAGCGCTGGAGAAAGTCATCCGATGTGCCTGCCCTCAACTCCGTCGTCCTGGCGTGCAGGGGATCCCCAGAGCCCACGAGCTCAAGATAGAAGAGTGAGGTTGGGGGGAGGCATCTCCAACTAGAGTCCTGATTTCCTCCCCACCCGTTAGCATGTCCAAAGAAAACTGCTCAGGGGAGTGATACTACCGAGTTCTCTGATTGGGGCAACTTCTCCAAATGACTAAAAGAAATCTTTCGCTGGGTGTGGTGATAAATGGTTATAATCCCAGCACTTGGGAGGCTGAGGCTGAGGATCTCAAGTTTGAGGCTAGCCCATATAGCAAGGCCCTGTCTCAAAACAACAAATAATAGTCATTATCAGGAGACTATCAAGGAAGTGTTTTTTTTTTTGGGAGCACCTGGAATCAAATCTGGGGCTTCGTGCTAGCCAAGTGCTCTACTGAGCTGTACCTCCAGCCAAATATAAAGTGGGTTTTTTTGGTGTATTGATTTTTTGAGACAGGGTTTTGCTCTGTAGCCCAGGTTGGTCTTGAACTTGCAGTCCTCTTTCCCTGGCTTCCTAAATCTGGGATTATAGATATGCACTATCATGTGCAATTATAAAGTTTTTACAATGCTAAATATATAGCTAAATAATTGGAGAAAAATGGCTGAAAATAAATTTTTGGGTCAATTTGCTCTTAGATAGTTCACAGCCAGAGAAACACACTTAAAAGTGCCTACTGGCTAGGTGTGGTGATACATACCTGCAATCTCAGCACTTGGGAGACTAAGGCAGGAGGGTTTTGAGCTTGAGGCCTAGGCTACATAGCAAAACAAGAAACAACAAAAAATGCATACTAGGCCAGGCACTGTAGAATGCACCTGGAGTCTGTTACTTGGGAATCTGAGACGGAAGTATCACTTGTGCCCATGTGTTCAGGCCAGCCTGGGCATCATAGTGAGACCCTCTCAAAAAAAATAACAATTTTAGCTGGGTGCCAGTGGCTCATGCCTATAATCCTAGCTACTCAGGAGGCAGAAATCAGGAGGATCAAGGTTCAAAGCCAGCCTGGGCAAACAGTTTGTGAGACCCTATCACTAGAAACCCTTCACAAAATTAGGGCTGGTGGTGTGGCTCAAGATGTATGCCCTACATTCAAACCCCAGTACCACAAAAAAAAAATTTTTTTTAATTTTAAAAAAATGTATGTTAGGTAGCAAATCAAAGAGTCAGATTAGGAATAGGCAAAGTTTAAGTGGGAGGTTCTTAAAACCAAACTGAGTGATGTCTGGCTTATCCCACAGATATGTGCAGAGGGGTCTACAGAGAGTCGGGCTAGATCCACAGCAGCCACTGAATCTGGCTGACCTTTGGGCTCACCAAGCCCAGGAGAACCGTGTGGTGGCCTTCTTCAGCCTGGCCCTCCTGCTGGCCCCACTGGTGGAAACACTGATTCTACTGGACCGGCTGCTCTACCTTCAGGAGCAAGGTGAGGGATTTGTTAAGGAATGCAAATTTCTACCAATCAGCCTCAGGCAGTGCTTCCCCAGTGCGTTTTAAGCAAGCTTCACCAGCACTGAGAACTTAAAAGACTGCCTCTCACCTTGGCACCCATGCTCCTGAAGAAAGCCTCCCTAGCACCCCTGGAGACTCCCCCATAGAAAAAGGGGCTGTGCCAGGGTTTGGCTCCTGATCCCTTTTCTAATTAGTCCTTTCTTCCAGGTTTCCATGCAGAGCTCCTGCCCATCTTTAGCCCTGAACTCTCTCCCAGAAACCTGGTTCTGATAGCCACCAAGATGCCCCTGGGTCAGGCCTTCTCTGCTTTGGAGACTGAAGATGGCTGATACAGCCTGAAGAAGGACACATCTCAAACCTCATCAGAAACCACTAGGTGCCAGTATGGCCTAGTACACCTCTGACACCCAGAGAGCCAGTATCCCACATCCTCCCTGGAATCCTGGCTCTGTACATACTTCAATTTCATACATGTTTTTTTTTTCTCTCTGTGTAATGTAAGGTTATGTGGAGTTTTACTTTTAATTTATTAAAATCTGGAAGACTACTTCCCTTCCATTTCTATAAGTAGAAAAAAGAACAGGCAATGCTGTCCCTGCAGAGGCGCTGAAGTGCATCTCACACCCACCACTGCCCTTCACAACCAGTGGCCTGTGTGACCACTGCCGTTGCCTAGGGGCCTCCATGGAAGGACCTCTCTCTCTCTCTGATTTCCATCCCAGATCATATAGGCCGTCCCTTCAGGTTGGCTAACGTCCATCCAGGTCTGTCCTTCCCTCAGTTCCTGGAAATGGTTCCCTGGGGTGGGATGGTAGGGGGACACTGCAGCATGAATAGCAGCTGCACACAAGGCTAGTGCTCTTTATTGGTGTCTGAGGAAGGTGTGCCTCAGCCTTCAAGTCAATGACAAGGAGAAGCTGCTGTCCCCAGGCTCAATACCAATAGACTTTCTTGTGTCTCCGGGTTTCCTGGATCCCCATTGCCTCCATCACCTCTTCCTCCAGTGTCCTTAGACGAGGAACATAAGTTTTTTCTAAAGCATCTTCCACCGATGTGTCCTTGGGGCCATCTGTTAAGCCAGAGGAAAGATTGGTAGGAGAGTTTGTTGACTTGATCTCTCTGTCTCTCTCAGTGATACTGGGGATGGAACCCAGGGCCTTGTGCATGCTAGCCAAGCTCTTTACCATGGAGCTTATTTCTCAGGCCCTTGGTTTTTTAGAACAGTCTCACTATGTAGCCCAAGCTGGCCTGGAACTTCACCGTGATCCTCCTACCTCAGTCTCACTACCATACCCGGCTGCCAACTTGTCTCACCCCTTCCATCCTGTCCCCTTCCCAGTCTTACCAACCCATGTTTCAGGGACAATGCCATCGGTTCTGGGAAACTCAGGTTTGGGAATAATTCTTCCTGATCTTGTGGAGACTCGAACCCGCTCTCCTGCCTCAGTAAATCTCCACTCGATCTCAGTGGGTTTCCTGGTGGATAGAAAAAGTGAGCCTGGCCTAGAAGCCAGGTCCCTATGCCACATTCCAACCCAGAAGTACATTGAATAATGTACAACCATTGAATAATGGTTGAAAACATCAAGGTTACCACCTTGTTTCTCTACCTCTGTATCAGGGTTATTCACAGGGAATCATGTCCAGGAGATGGGCCTTTGAACTTCCAGAGTATTCAGCTCACCATTCCCATTGGATAAAGTGCTACTCACCCCTGACTCTCTGGTCAACATTTTGTGGGCTCACAGGCCCTTTGACCAGAGCCCCATATGCTTGCCTGTCCACAGGATCCACTAGCTTGACCTGGCGGTGAAGCAAGGGGGCTTCACTAGGGATCATGGTTCCCCGGTGATCCTTGGTCTTGCCAATGTAACGGTAATGCTGTCCAAGAGAGGGGGGTATCAGAAAGCAAGGGTGTGAAGAGGGCTTATCCACTGTTGCTCAGCGCATGTAGCCCAAGCTGACAAGTAGAGGGTTCAGTCACACAGCCAGCCCCTCAGCCAGTCTCCTGCCACCCTGTGCTGTGCGCAAAGGAGAAAGACACATGGGGAGAAGCTTCCTGAGCGTCTCTCACTTCACTTACTGTGTTCAGCCCCTCCAGGACCACCCAATTTCGCTGGCGGATAACTTGAACTACTTTGCCCTGCTTCCCAGCATCCTTGCCTTCTAGGATCTCCACCTGTGGGAAGACACCAGGATGAAGCAGGGGGATGCTTGCCCAGGAGCCTCCCTGTCACTCTATCTCCTGTCTGAGGTTCTCACCATGTCCCCACAGAATAGATGCCAGTCTTCATCAGAGATGGGTTCCACAGCCACTGGGCGCCGCCTGGTCCATGGACGGTTCTTCCTCTTATCTGCCAGGGAGCCTGGGCGGCTCATCCCATAGCGGTAGTGGGGGGGTAGAGTGACCTTGGATGCCAAGGCCAGCAGGGCAGAGAGACGCATTCTGGAGGCTTTGAGAAAACCCCTCACCAGTGAAAGTCTCAGAAACTTTCTTTATCAGCTCTAGTATGGAGAGAAACAAGGGGAGAAAAGATGGAAAGGAATGCTTTTAAAGCACTTACTGTTACTCAACGGACCTCATCTCATGGAACCTTCACAAAATATCTTCACTTTACAGACGAGGAAACAGAGAGGTTAAGTAATCTGTCCATAGTCACACGGAGCTACTATGTGGAGATATGAGCATTCAAACCCATATACATCTGACTTTGAAGTCCAAAAAATTGAGGCTAGGGGCCTCAATTCACTCTTGAATCCAGAAGGTCTCAGTGGAGCTTGGCACACAGTAGGTACTCAAGAACGTTATTAGATGGATGCATAAACAGTGGGATAAGGACTGGATGCTGGTGGCTCACGCCTATAATCCTAGCTACTTAGGAGGCAGAAATCAGGAGGATTGCAGTTCGAAGCGAGCCTGGGCAAACAGTTCAAGAGTACTGCAAAAATAAATAAAAGGGGTTGACAGGTTGTTATTTCTGGAGAGTGTTGTATAAGGCACTGGCACTAGCATAGGCCAGTCACAAGGTAAAATGAACAAAAAGGCAGCAGAGATAAAAAATGGGTTACTTGCCTAGCAAGGCTGAGTTCAAACCCCAGTACCGCAAAACAACAACAAAACCAAGTTAAAAATGTCCCTATCCCTCTTCCTGTCCTCAGATGAGAAATAAGCACTCCTCCCTAAAATAGCATAGCCTCTTTTCTAAGGGTTTTGGATCCAGTACTGTCCTCTAAGATTGTTGGGTCCTAAATTTCCTAATTAAGTCTCCCAGTTTACAATGGTGAACTAAATTAATGGGACAGTAAAAGAACTGGCAAAAATAAAAAGTGCTGGCTGGACGTGGTGGTGCATATTGTAATCTCAGCACGGGAGGATCTCAAGTTTGAGGCCATCCCGCGCTACCTAGCTACCTAGCTAGACTCTGTCTCAAAAAACAAAGTGTTTCAGTATACTGAGCACTTGCTACATGCTAGGTGCTATATGCTAAGTGCTTTCCTGGGTCATCTCAGTTAACCCTACAGACAAGGATGAAGAAGGCATTTTGCAGAGAAGAATGAACTTAGCTTCAAAATACAAGTGAACTGTACTACAATGGCATAAGGAGTCCTGGGGAGTCACACTACCTGACCGACTGGTGACTCCCTACTGCCAGCTTGGTTCCAGTCCCTGCTCCCATTGTCTTACTGTATGATCCTTAGCTTCAGTTTCACTGTATGAAACATGACAGGGTGGCTGGTGTCACTGAAGTTACTTTTGTCCTTTATTTGTTTCTTTGAGACAGGGTTTTGAGGCTGTCTTCAAACTTGAGATCCTCCTGCCTCAGCCTCTGGAGTGCTAAGATTAGACATGTACCACTGTCTGGCTCACATTTTCATTTTCTACTGACATGCATTAAAAAGCAACATGCCAGGTGCCTCTTACATGCTCATGCCTGTAATCCTAGTTACTCGGGAGGCAGAGATCAAGAGGATCTCAATTCCAGAACCTATCTCAAAAACACCTAACACAAAAAAGGGAAGTGGCTGAGCACCGGTGGCTTATACCTATAATCCTATCTACTCAGGAGGGAGATATTAGGAGGCTCACAGTTCGAAGCCACCCCAGGCAACTAGTTCCGCTAGACCCTATCTTGAAAAAAACCCTTCACAAAAAGTGGTTCAAGGTGTAGGCCCAGAGTTCAAGCCTGAATACCGCAAAAAAAAAAAAAAAAAGGGGGTGAGGGGGACTATGGAATGGCTCAAGTAGTAGAGCTCCTGCCCCCAGTTCAAACCTCATAACCCCCCCAAAAAAACCCTCAAAAAACCCCAAAAAACCTGATTTATCTGAAGAGTGAACTATTGGCCATTTAAATTTCTTCAATGTTTTTTTTTTTTGTGCTGCTAGAGTTTGAATCCAGAGTCCCACACATGCTGGGCAAGAACTCTACCACTGATCTACATCCCCAGCCCCTTTTTTCTTCTTCACACATCTCAGCATGGTGGTGGTGGGGGGAGTGGGAGCGGTAAGAAGGCCCAATGTCATGAACTAATGCTGGTTAAATATAAGGGCTTAAGTATTCCTATTTAGAATCAACAAATAATTATAGAGCATCACTACGTAACAAACTTAATGCTGGAAATTCAGTATTAGTGGCAACTGTTTTCTTTTCTGGTGCTGGGGGGACAGAACCAGTTTCCACCATGCCCAGGAAAGCAGACTGTATGGTACAATTATCACAAAGTCCCTTTTATAGCCAAGAAAACCAAAGCTCTCAGACCTGGAGTGACTTGCCCTCTCCTCGTTCAGCTGATAGAAGCGGGGCCAACCTTAAGACCCAAGCCACCTGCATAAGTGCTGCAGGGAAACCCTCAAACTCTGGGAGGAGAACCCAGGAGACAGCCCAATCCAAGCACGCCCGTTAGATCTTTCCCTTCTCTCCTCTCCACAAACTAGAGAGGCTGTTGCCGCTTCCGCGGTGGGGCTTTCACTGCGCAGTGCAAGCCAGTGAGGTCCAGCGGTTCCAAAGGCTTACCCCGCCAGCCTGGTCCAGGATGCGAACCCACATCCTAAAAACGTATCTCACCAGGCCCCGGCAATCTTCAGCACCCACCTGCTCCGACCTTCCGGTGCAGAGAAACTCAGGGGAGGCAACTCTGTCGCAGCTAGGGAAAAGGAAGTCAGTTCCTGCACCTACCTCCCTGCGAGCCCCAAAGGCCATGCGACCTCACCAACCTTTTTCGCTGCACCGCTGAGGGGCAGCCCGTAACCTATGCACATGGGTCCTCAGCCCCACCCGTCCTGGCCCACCGGTTTTGGGAAATGTAGTCTACTTGCTGAGCGGAAACTCAACGAAGCTAGCCACTTGGCATGCTGGGAGTTGTAGTCCGTCACTATAAACGCAAGGCAGGAACAGGAAGTTTGGCCGGCTATAGGCGATGAAGAGCATGTCGGGAATTGAAGGCAAAGCGGATAGGCTGACACGCATAGTATATTCTTGCGCAAGCTCTGCGCGGAGGCCGCTGGGAATTGCAGTTTCCAGAGAAGATGGCTCCATTTTCTAGGCGGTTGTGGCTTTCGGTTCAAAGCAAAGGGTCTCTTTTCAGGCGAGACTACAGCTATTACTGTCCTCGCCCTTCTCTGCTGAAGGGCGCAGGGCAGATTCAAAAACTGTCATGGGCTTTCTAGAGGAAGGGATGAAACGTGGACCCTTCCAATGCCAGTAGATAATCTAAGTCACAAAATGTCAGATCTGGAAGGGACTTAAGAGATTTGGTCCGATGTACCACAAAATTTGGGGAGTGCTGGGAGGATTCCACCCTATCTACCTTCCTCCCACCCTCTCATCACTAGTTAAGGTTAAGAGGCATCTCTAGTGAAGGCCAGCCCAAAGACCACAGATCATAACCAACTCCCTATTTGACCCTGTCTTCCACAATAATCAGGTCAAGTGTTTTCTTAAATGACTGGTTATCAGCAAGAGGGCCTCCAGGTAGCTATCTTGTCTCGCGTGTCCACTGTGTAATGTCAGTAACTTAGGTGGACAAACTAATAGGCAACATGAATAGCCCAAGGAAATTATCTTTGTTCTGGAAAAGCATCTCATGACTAAGTGATTAGGATCAGATGTATCAATTGGCTATAAACCACCTGTGAGAAAGCGCCCACTAGTCTTCCATCTCATCTCCTACATAAACTCCCCCTAAATCAACCTCTCAGCAGGATGAACTTTGGCCAAATCTTCCACCTTCTAGGTCCCCTGGCATTTGGAATAAAGTTGCCTTCCTTACCTCAACATCTCTCTTAATTGGCCTGTCATGTGGCTTGCAGCCCACCCAACTAGCTAGTTATCTTTCTAATCTTTGGCCTGCTCTTGGGAGGCCAATGTTGTTTCTAAAACCCCCAGCATCTGGGAGGCAGGAGGATCTCAGGTTTGAGACCAGCCCTGGACAACCCTGTCTCAGAAAAACAAAACAAAAAACACCCAATTTCATGACCATTTGAGCTGTGGCCAATACTTTGTACAATTTTCCTTTTAAAAAACCCTCCCTAGCAGGACACCAGTGGCTCACGCCTGTAATCCTAACTACTTGGAAGGCTGAGATCAGAATTGCAGTTTGAGGCCAGCCAAGGCGAGTAGTTCACAAGACTCCCATCTCCAAAATAACCAGGCCAGGTTTGGCTGAAGCAGTAGAGCGCCTGCTTTGCAAGCTTGAAGCCCTTAGTTCAAACTCCAGTCCCATCAAAACAAAACAAAACAAAACAAACTCAACCCTCCCAGATGCTTTGAGGGAAGCTGTGATTCAAACACTGGTTGGGCAGGACAAGTAAAATGGATGGTGTGGTTTTATTATTGTAAGACTGTCCTCATAAATTTTTGGATTCCTAACAGCCTGGGAATGGAAGAGGCTAAACATTCTTACCCTAATTTCAGAAGGAAATCATTTACATTCCCTTCTTCAATTCCCCTCTTCTTCAATTAACAAATATACCCCGAAAGAATCAGTCAGAATCCAAATAGTAATCAACAGGTTTTATTTTTCTAGAACTGAAATTGTCTACGGTTCTCAGAGCTAAACTTCCAAAGCTACAGTCAGCAATTTTTCATCAGAGCCCAAGGAAGAGGGGGCAGGAGTAAGAGACAAGAGACAGAAGAGAGGCAGAGACCACTAGAAAGAGGCTGGAAGAAAGAAAGCACTTCTCTCTGTCCTCTTAGTGGGCTACAAATTGGATCTGGTGACAACACCCAGGGAACCAAGTGGGGGTATGAGGATGGAAAATGACACGGGAAGGAACACCAAAGCCCCAGCAACAAAAAGAAAGTTATCAAGTCCCAAAGAAGGGGAGCCTCCCAGTGCACCTCAGAAATGGGGGCAATGGTAGGGAAGAAAAGAGCAGAATGGGGAGCACACAAAGGGCTGGAGGGGGTGTTAAATTTTTTTTATAATTTTCTTTTATTAAAAACATTTCCTAAAAAATGTGTCTTTTCCTTTATGTCTGGGTGATATATGTGACTACAGGCTGGCCTGGAGCACTATGGGAAGAGGGACTAGGGCAGCTAGGGTGTCACCCCAAGGTATCCCATCTCTGGCCCCAAAGGTCTAAAGGGGCACAGATGCTTGACACTCCTACCCAAGTGGGTAAAGTCAACCCTCAGGTCTCAGGTCTTTGGCCCAAAGAACTTGGGAGCCCCAAAGTCTTTTGATGATAAACTGTAACTCCCAGACTCCCGGGGTCAGGCAAAAGAATAGATATTATCAATGAAGGATTTATAGAAGGGGGGCCCTCCCCCCCAAGCTGTCCCACTTTCCATGAAATTTAGGCAGCTGGGAAATAGGTGTGGGAGTAAGGGACAGGACCTCGACAGGCCACCCTCTTGCCCTCCCTGTTCAATTTAGAGATTGCCACTCCCAGGCTCCAAAAGCCCATCCTGCTGTTTATGCTCCATCTTTCCCACTCCTAGCCCTATCCCAACCCAGAGGTCCAGAACGCCTGGGGGAGGAGATAGGGTGACAGGAGATGGAAACAGCAGCCTAGGCCCCAAAAGCCCTGGGAAACAGCTCTAAGCAGCAAGGGACACAATGGCCTCATCTCATCCCAGGGAGAAGACATGGCCCTAACTCAGATCACAAGGGTATAGGGACCTGGAGGTGAGGCCCAGGTCAATCTTCAGGGGCTGGGCTTAAAGTGGGGAAAGAGAATGGAGGAGGACAGCAGGTTGGGTGGGAAAAGGGTTCCCAGTTTGCAGGCCATGGCCAGTTTCCCCAGTAGCACCCAGACAGCAGCAGGAACGGGGCAGGGGCTCCTCTTGAAACATTGGTGGCTACAGGCTGCAGGGGAGGGTTGGAGGGGAGAAGGGTTAATGGTGTAGCCTTGGCCTGGTCTTGCCCCAGCCAGTGCCGGTCTCCTGGGAGAGCCCACCCGGCCTCCCAAGAGGCTGACCATGGTGGCCCTTTCTCCTCCTCTGTGCAAGTGGCTGGACCCTCCCAGCCCACTGCCAAGGCGGCTCACTCACCTCTCATGATCTCTGACGCCCTGGGCCTCAGCATCTTCCGTGGCGGCCTCTTCCTCCTCTTCCTCTTCTTCTGGAGGCCCCCGGCCAGAGCCCAGTTCAGAAGAGGTACTATTCTTCTCCACCTCCACAGGCAGAGGCTTCTCACTCTCCAAGGTGGCTGCTTCCTTCTCCTCCCCCTCAGGGTCTTCTGCCTCCTTGGGACGTTTAGGGGAGTCCTAGGCAGAATCAGCAGAAAGAGAATGTGGGATGAAGCTGGAGAGAGAAGCAATCAGCCACCACCCTATACCCCCTCCTCAGGAGCTCCTTCCTGGACTAATACCCACAGACAGTGCTTCCATTACTAGCTGGAACACCTTCTTCTGCACCTCATTTTCTCAGCCAATCACTCCTCAAGACTAGGGGGTGAATTTAGCTCAGACTGGGCTCTGATGCTTTGGGGATGCCCTGTGGAGAATGCTCAAGGACGTCTAGGCCCCCAGCAGGTGGCAGTTACCTCCGGTAGGTCCCCCGCTCTCCTCTTCAGTGCCCCCTTCTCATTCTTCTCCTTGGTTGGCTCATCAATGACCAGCTTCCCTTCCTCATCACTGCTACCCTCAGCATTCCCCTTCTTATCGCCATCACCTTCTGTGGCTTCCGGCTCTGGATCTGGCTCTTCCACGCAGCTCTTTTTCTGGGAGGACTGCAGCGAAGACAGCAGAGGCTGAGTGGCACCAGGGGCTGCCACGCTGGGCCCCCTCCCATGCCACCCCCTCAGCCACTCACTCCTTCCTTCTCCCGCCTCTCCCCCTCCCCCACCCAGGTGCCCAGTCTCACAAGTGATTTGAGACCCACCTCTGTTGGATTAGCCCCGGGGTAAACCCACTGGCCGGGCAGGCAGGGCTCTGTGCAGGAGGGGGGAGGGCTGGAGCAGGAGGCAAAACCTCGGGTCAACTTCTCCCAAAGGGAGCTGGGACCCTTTCCCCGCCAACCCCCGCCCCCCACCCTCCCGCCTTGTCCTGCCCGGCTCACGAGCACCTCCTCCTGGAAGTCTTCGTGAAAAGAGTTAAGGCCATGTCTAGTACTCATGCTGGCTCAAAAAAGGCCTGGCCCCACTTACCGCCTCCATCCTGTTCTTGCCCCTTAGGCTGCTGACAGTTGCCCCTGAGCACGACTATGTGACACTCCCACAACCCCATCCCCTCTTGCAGGAAGCCCCCCTCCCCACCACCCTAAAGCCCTGATGTTCTGAATAAGCATCAGGCTCTGGGAGCCAAGCCACACCTGTCTCCCTGGGGTCTTTGGGACAAATGGCAGCTCACCTGGTAGCCCGAAGCCTTGACAGTAGGGTTGTTCTCGATCTCCCAGAGCCCCTCGCTGAACCCTTTCCTCTTGTTGGGCTTGCCAAACTTCTCCTTGGACTCCTCGTAAGGGAAGAGGTCTTTGGGGCCCAGGAATGCCCTGGTGAGAGATGGGAGACTGTGCTCTCGAACCCCTCACTACCCCTGAGCTACACAGCCCAAATACGGAGGGGCACTGTCACCACCTCCCTGGATATCCCCACCTGCACCCTGCTGGCCCCTCACTCACGTCTCGTGGGTCCCGAAGAAAAAGACTTGGTATTTGTTGGCTGTCGACTTCACGGCGGCCTCAGGCATCTCATCAATCTGGGGTGAGAGTAGGGAAGCAAGTATGAGCAGGAGTCCTGAGATCTTCAATTTGTGGTGGGGTGCCAACCTCTTAGGCGTGGTCATTCCGGCAAAGCCAAACCCAGTAGTACCCGAGATTCAAAGCTAGGATTACAATCATGCACCCCATGCCTGGCTCCAACTATGAAATGTTGATCCTAGCATTTCACGCTTTCAATAACTTCTTGTGACTAGGACCCACTCCTTCTCCACAATGGCAAGGTCTGAATCTCAACTCTGCCACTCAAAGTGGTTGACCTTGGGCAACTTAACGAAACCTCTCTACCTATCCTTATCTGTAAAGTGGAAATAGTCCCAGGACTTAATCTATTGAGGTGTGAGGGCTAAAGGACCAGAACTTTCATGAGTATGTCCGCCAAGTGTTTGTTGTCATGAACCCTTCCCAGGGTGCTGCCCTTCACTTTCGGTTCCATGCTGTTCTTTCAGTCTGTCACACTCACTAACTACCCATCGTCACTTCCTCCAGAAAGCTTCCCCAGATCCTGACCCAGTCAGTTGCCCAGGGAAAAACTCCCCTAGCACTCCGCCTTCACGGTTCCAATTTTACACAGCATTATATTATTACTTGATTGACATCTATGTACTATCTGGACTGTCACCACCCCAAGGTCAGAGACCAAGTCTGCTTTTTTTTTTGTTATTTTCTCATGCCAAGGTTGATCAAAAAACTCAGGAGGATCTTGAATTCAAGACCCTCCTGCCTCAGCCTCCCAAGTGCTGCGATCACAGGAGAGTACCACCACATCCAGCCCAGGTCTGCTTTTATCCCCAGCACACAGTAGGTACACACTAATACTTAATGAATCTATGAAACAAAGGCAGACTACTCTGGCTGAAGTGGAGGGGGAAGCCAAAGAGCTGCCTGTTCAATTCTGGGCTCTAATAGTAGCTCTAAAAGACTTCTAGGGAACACTTTGAAAGCCCCATTAGTAGTCAACCCCTTTTATTTTACAGATGAGGAAACCGAGCCTAGAAAAGATGATCTGAACAAAATAACAGGGCAAGTTATAGTGAGGGCCAGGTCTCAGCCCTAATCTCCTGACTTGATCCCCTCTCCCACCTATCCCAGCCCAAGAGAAGTGCTGTGATGAAGGTGGGACATGCAGAGGTCTGAGGTCTGGAAAATAAAGAGACAGTGACCTAGCCAGCCTCTCCCTGATCAGATCCTGGAAGCCAGACCAAGCAGAGCTAAAGGTTGGAAGGTGGGGACTACAACTCCCAGCAACACTTGCAACAGCCCTAGCCGACTGGCTTCCCGCCTGACCGAGGCCAGGTGGCCATGTTGACTGGGGCCCAGAGGCAGACAGGAGAGACACAGACAGGCCAAGGCAGTGATTAGCACAGAGAGAGGGACAGAGGGCCTCGACAGAGGGCCTGTAGAGACAGGGTGGCTGGGTGGATGGGAATGAACTGAGACACACCCAGGAGTGGAGGTGGGGCCTGGGCATGTATCTGAGGGGCATCTCGTCCCAGACTTGGAAGTCTTCAGGCTTCTAGGCACCTCCCTCTCTTGCCCCGTGGCCTCTGGGGACAGAGGTCGAGCCCCTCCCCCAAAGGAAGGCCCAGAACAAACTGGGCCCTCCCTAAGTATCAGGAGACCCAGAGGTGTGGGAGCAGGGGGTGGAAAGGCATGCAGTTCCCCCTACAAACAGGATCCCCATCGCCATGACAACACAACCCCGCCCCCAGGGCCACTCAGCAACCAGGAATGTGCCCGCCCTTCCCCCTAGGCTCTCTATCCGGATTGGGGAGGAGGGGACACAACACCCCACTCCCAAGCGTAGAGTCTGGCACCTGGGTCTGGAGCTGAGCTAAGAAACCACAGCTAGGGCTGGAGGGCTGCTACATGAGGGGAACTTACTCTCAACTCAGGAAGCCAGATTTGGGGTTGGGGGGTGTCCAGCAGAAGCTGGACAGGGACACCTGGCTGCTGTTACCAGCTAGCTCCCCAACCTCCTCTGGGACCGGGGGGAGCAAAAAGCAAAATGAGGGCCTCCAGGGCTTAGAGATCCTAGGAGACAGCCACAGGATAATAGCAAGGGCTCTTCCCTAGGCCTCTCTCCTAGGTGGACCTGGAAGTGAGGGAGGAGGCAAGGGCCTAAGGCTGGGAATGCAGCAGGGAACTTTTGATCTCTGCATTTTCAGTACCCATACCTGAGCCAGGGCATTAATATGCTCATAATAGATGTGTGATGAAAGAGGAGACACTGAGGGTAAGGAAGAGGGGTAGGGTAGGTGAAGGGTCAGAAATTAGACATGAGGTTCTCTCCAGGAGCACAACTGAAGCACCTGGTCACCCCAACTTCCCATGGCAAGTAAACTCAGAGTTGGATAGCTGAATCTGAACAGTGTGGCAGGTGACTCAGGAGGCCACCAGCTGCCCAGCCCCAGGAAGAAATGAAAAGATTGGGTGGAATTAAAAATAGAATGAAACACACCAGCCATGTTGGCTTCCAGATGCATAAAGGATGGGTATGGAGAGATGAGGGTTGGATGACAGGCCCTGAGCAGATGGGCATCTTCCCCAAAAAGGTCACTCCACCCAACCTTGAGTATAGGTACCTGGGGGAAGGGCCAGGAGAACCTCACTCTTCTCCTTTAATGGAATTCCCAGCCCCTCAAAAAGGAGAACGAAATCTTTCTGTAGGGGTACCTCCATCCCTCAAGCCACAAAGGAAACATCTTTCCTTGCACTTGGGAGTAAAGGGTAGTTCTGCCTAGATGTAGAAGATGTAAGGTCTCAGGGGAACTGTGCACCCCAATACTGACGTCTTGTCTCCCAAGTGGTGCATTTGTATCCAGGCTGTGACTCAGAACCAGTGAGTCAAGGATAAGTGGGTCAGGGTGGGGCCAGATGTGCTGGGGACCCTGCAGCAACCCCTCCACTAGCCAAGAGGGAATGGGTTCTGAAACTTCTTAAGCTAGTCTAGGGATCCAGGCAAGTTACTTCTCAGGCTGGGGCCCATCACCCCCACCCTTACTCCTCCACATTTGCCTGGCTCCATCAGGCAAGCGTGAGCACATGAAATCCCATCCTGCTGAGGACTGAGGCCTGCAGAGTGATCTGAAGTGTTCAGGGGAAGAGCAGGGGGAAGGGCTGAACACTGCTCCACCAGCCTCAGTCCCAAAGCAGGCCTAGGATGTCCTCCCCAGCACTTGGGAAGGAAAAGGGAAGGCTAAGCACACACTGGCTACCAGCCAGGGTTCCGACCACCACACCCAGGGCTGGGCTGACCTGACCCAGGAACCGGAAAGTCCAGGGCAGCAGGCAGTTCAGACAGTTGGGGGCGGGAAGTGTGGCAAGCCCAAGGGGCAGAAAAGAGGCGGGGGAGGGGCAGACCGGGGAAAGACAGGAGGTTGTGGGCTGCTTAGGAGTTTTTCTGGGATTGTGAAACAGAAACAGAGGGAGGAGGAGCAGAGGAAGGAACCTGGGGCAAATCCCTGAGCCTTGGAGCTTATAATTGTTAAGTGCCTGGAGATCCCCCTAGGTTAGGCAGGAGGAAGAGGGAAAGGAGAAGGTTAAGATGGAGTCACACCATCCTTCCAGACAGGTCCTGCTACCACGTGGCCCCTCGCAGAATCACCCATCCTCCCCAGCAGCAGGGATTAAGAACGGGTAAGGTCCACACAGTGGCCTTCACAACTGAGTGTTCTTGCTGCCCAATAGTCATCAAAGACTCCCTCTTATTCCTCATCCACCTCAGGAAGGGCTGGGCACCTCAGGCTCTTACCACACAGGGTCCAGGCTCAGTGAGTTGTCTGTTTTGGGGGGGCTCAAGGGGATGATCTGGGAGATAACAGTCTTGGGTGTACCAGTGCACCCAACTGTCACAATCAAGAGCCAGAGTCAGGCGAAGTGTAGGGGCCCACCTCCTTGAGATCCAGACTGATCGAGCTCCTTATCCCAATTCTAACTTTATCTAAGAGGCCCAGGCCTCTGTAGAGGAAAAAGCTCTAAAAAGGGCTAGGGGGAGGGGACCGTGCGGGGGGAGGCTCAAGTAGTAGAGCGCCTAGGCAAGCACAAGGTCCAGAGTTAAAACCCCAGTCCCCCCTCTCCCCCAACCCCTTCCAAAAAAAAAAAAAAAATGGAGGAAGAAACTCTGCCTTCTCCATCCTACTCTTTGGTCCCAGGGTGAAAGAAATTAATGGTATCCCCAGTTCAGGGGCCACAGGAAACCTGAGGTTCACTGTAGGTCCTTCTGGGTCCCTACCCCTTTTGTCTCCTACCTGGCCCAGAAGGGGTTCTTTGCAACCCACATCCCAACTAACTCCTACTCCCCTGACTTAGCCCAGCCTCTGGACTTTGTTTCACTTCCAAAAGGGAGAAGCAGTAGAGAGATTTGGGTTCAATTCTTGCCTGGCCACCAGGCCTTGGCATCTGGGCCAAGAAGCCAGTTGGATCAAAGGGTGCAGGGTAAAGTACATGAGTATTCAGAAGGCCACACACAAGGCTGGCTATGGGTGCTTCCACACACTGCCCTGCCTCAGCCACTGGAAAGAGAGCCCTGCTACTCTCTGCTCTCTACTTCACTCCTGTGCCAGAAGCTAAGCCTTGTTCAATCCATCTGAGCTCAAGGCAATGTGGGTTTAGGCCCACTCCTCAGGAGTGGGCACAGAGTTCACAAGGGTCTTTAGGATTTCCTGAGTGGCTGATCTCGCCTGACACCTTGGACAGGACCCAGGCTAGCCTGGGGCAATTTCTTGGCTAAGGGCAGCATCGGACCAAATGAACAGACAGCATGACTCTGAGAGAGCAACCCAAAGCCACAAGGCAGTCCTCCTGCTCTGGGTCCTCTTCCTCCACTCCTTTCTGCCCTTGGATTTCACCCTACAGGAGTCTTACACTCTAGGGGGCTGACTCATGCCCTCACCTAATACCAAGGCCCCTCTACATCAACTTTGAAAATGTTGCCAGAGGCACTGCCCCCCACACACCTCCATTCTCCTGCGGCAACTGGCAACCTCCCCTCCTCCTTACTTAACCTATCTCAGTCCTTAGGGAAAAGGTGATAAACACACCAGGCTTAGCTTCGGGGCCCCACCCTCCCACCTGGCCAGGTGCTGGAAGGAGGGGAGGCCCTTCAGTTGGCGGGCTGGAACCACATGGTGGATACTAGGCCCATCTGGCGGGAGATATTCACATTGAGTGTTGGGGGGAAGGCTTCCCCGCCCCCCCTTGGGTAGTCTGGGCTGAACTTTCCAAACCCACATGAGGTCCTGCGCCATCAGTCTCAATTTTGGGCTGGTGGCATATGGAGAAATATTTTTGTGGAGCTGAGGGTTGATGAGTTGTGGCGGAGAATTTCCAAGCCAGGTGGATCCTTTCTTAAGGCATCTCCCCAACCATTTCTCGACCCTCCTAACTTCAAACCTCTTACAGATGCCCCAACCAAAGTTTTCTAGCAGCGAACTCCGCCTCCATTTAGCCTCCTCTGGGCTGCGACCCTTCGTAGTCCGTTTGAACTGGGGCGACAATCAATGGAGAAACTGGGGAATCTCAAAAGGGGCTGGCAACAGCGCTGGGGGGCGCGGTGGGAGGAGTTACACGACTGGCCCAAACCCAGACTGCGCGCCCGCAGCCACGGCTCGTATGGGGGCTGGGGGCGGAACTGAGCACACGGAGCCGGGCCGGGAGGTGACCGGCACCCTCAGGTCCCCACGCCGCGCACACGCCTCTACGCGCCGACGCCGTACCCGCCAGGTGTCGTCCCCCCACCACCACCGCCTGCCTCCATTATATAACCGCCGGGTGGGCTTGAGGACGACAGGGAGAGTTGGGGACCCAGATGCCCCTGCCCCCCTCTCCACCCGCCCGCACTGGGCGCTCGTGCCCTCCCGAGTGTTATGCAACCCAAATCCCGCAGGGGGATCGGGGGCTGAACTGCTCACCCGGGCCGGCCAGTGTGGGTAGCCCTTCATCTTGGCGAACACCAGGTCCCCGCATTTGTACTCCTTCTGCCGGTTGGATCGCGACATGGCGGGGCTCCGGGCGCCCCGGGCTCCGCGCCGGGCCGGGAAGCGCGAGCCCAAGTTTGCGCGTGCGGCGGTGGCGGCGCCGCTCCGCTCCGGCCCTCGCGCGGCCCCCGCCTCGATGGTGGCCCCCGGCCCGAGCTCCGGCGCGGCCACGGCGTCTCCGCCCGCGCGCCGCACGGACGGGGCGGGCGCGGATCGGGGCAACGCTCCGGCGCGGTGGGTGCGCGCTCGTGCAGTTGTTTGTGTTTGAAATTCAATTGCTCCCTCCTCTGCGCGAGGCCTCTTCCTCCACCCCCCGCCCGGTCCCACTCCTCCTCCCTCCTCCCGGCCCACTCCTCCTCCTCCTCCTCCTCCTCCCCCCCTTCGCTCCCTCCCGCGGCAGTTTGATGCGCGCAGCAGCTAGACGCCCAGTGCCTGCCACCGCTCGGCGCCCAACCTGCAGCCGCCTGGCGGCGCGCGGCGACACAGGCCAGAGGAGCCGATCGCCGAGCACGCTGAGCGGGCTTTGTGTGCCCGCTGTCGGTGGGTGCCCGCCCGGGAGGAGCTGGCGCCCGGCTGGACGGAGCGGTCCCAGCCCCTCCCCCGTCTCCGCGGGGCGCTCACCAGCGCAGCCCAACCTGGACGTGTAGGCGCCGTGCCTGTCTGTCCTGTCCATCCCAATCCAAGGCACCCGCGGTTCTTGGCAGCTTGCTAGGCGCCCCGGGTGAGAGGCGTGGATACCACGCCACCGCTCGTACTGGGGTACTTCCTGAACCTCAACGTGCATACAATCTGTTTGGTGCCCTGGAGACGTCGGGAATTTGTGCCCTCCGTTGGCCTTTATTTCAATGGAGGATACGCTCGAATTTGGTAGTCAGGAGGTGTCCGAGGGATTGTAGCACCAAGTGGCCACTTTCAAATGCATTAGGTCTCGGTTTTCTCTGCTGCTGCCTGTCAAAAATGATTGGGCTTCCACTAATTAACCTCACAAGGATGAACTTAGTTCCAGTGAGAAAAGACAGAATGCTAGCAAATCCAGAACCTTTAGTAAACTGTGAAAACCAAGGAGCCAGGCGCTATCAAGGGTTCAGAGTTGGGGGAAATCTGGGAGGGCTTCACCAAAGTTTTGACTGTGAGCTGGGCCTTAAAAAATGAGTAGAGCCAGGCACTGGTGGCTCACACCTGTAATACTAGCTACTCAGGAGGCAGAGATCAGGAGGAACGCAGTCCGAAGCCGGCCTGGTAACCCAGTACTGCAAAAAAAAAAAAAAAAAAAGATTTTGCCAAATTCTGGGAGACTATATATTGACCCACATCACGTACTAAGAAGTGATAGAGCCAAAACTTGAACCCGGGCCTCTTCTCATTAAGTCAAATAGGACTTTATTGTAATTAACATCTTTATTTGCTATCACTATACCCAAATTCTAGACATCTGTTTATAGACCTTAGAAATAAGACATTTGGGTCTTAGATTACAGCATGTACAAATTCTTAAAAATTTTCCAACCAACTATGCCAAGTTTGAATAGGTAAAATAGTGCATTTTCCTCCCTACAAGTTTTCCTGATCCTATTTCAAAGCCTATGTAAAGTCTCCCCGCATGGAAGTGTAGAATGTAGCCAAAAGGCCAGAAGGCACAGGTCCACATTCTGTCTGCCGCTCATAAATCATGCGAACTTGTGCAACTCCCTGAACTTCTCTGGGCCTCAGTTTCCTCCCTGTAGGATGGAATACACGCCTGCTCTGCCAACGCCAGAGGCTTGCAATCACTGCTCCCACTAGCAGAGGCCTGCATAACAGTTGACTGTTCTGTGGCCATGGTAATGCATTTCCTAACTCTTGCCTTTATGACAGTGTGACTTCTCAGCATGTCGCCCCTTGTGATAGGAGTCCCTTTGGCCCTGGCCACAATACACTAGGCCATTGGCACTGTGGGCATTCTGCAAGGTCCTGTTGCAATAAAAAAGCCACGCAGGCCCTCGGCCACGGACCAGTCCATTTGTTTCCATAGCAAATCTAAACGTGTTGCAACAGAGCAGCTAGATTCCAGCTGGTCTTCACGATACATTCCAGCTCGAAATGCAGCGGGTTGATAGTCCAGATTGTCAAGCTAACCCTATTCTTTGTTGTTATTGTTGTTAGGAGAGAATCTTGTCACAGGTCTTTAAAGGTGTTTCAGGACTAAGTCCAGCCAGGCCACGATGACTCAGGCTGATAATCAGAGATCGGGAGGATTAAGGTTCCAAGCCAACCTGCCTGGCAAGTATTAGTTAGTCCCTGAGTTCAAACCCCAGTATGGCAAAAAAGACAAAAAAAAAGTCCAGTGTCACAACAGGTTTCCTTTAAGTGTCCACGTCAAACATGTTTTTAAGCTTTTCCAATTGAGCACAACCAACTTAGTTAAACCCAAGGGTTCCTCCCGTTTCTCCACTTTGTTGGAAGGTGGCAGGCAATAAAGCTTCTACATTCTTGTCACAGGACTGGGGATTTAGCGTAGCTCCGTGTAGAGAGCACTTGCCTCCCATGTGAGAGAGAAGCCTTGAGTTTGATTCCCCAGCACCACAAATTTAAAAAAAAATAAATAATTCTTGTTACAGCAAATCTCTTGGGCCTCTCATTCAGTCCACGGTGCAGATGCCTGTTGTAGTAATACAACGGAGGTTCCCTTTGTTGCAGTAATCTCCCAGGCCTTGGTTGCAATTCAATACCCAAGTTCTCCTTACATCATGAACCAACTCACAGCTGCCCCTAACAACCAAACTGAGGGCCCCAGAGGGTCAGTTACATGGCAGGGCATAAGCCTGCCTCCCCTGAGATTCAGGTCTCCCTTTGTGCTTTACAGACTTTAATGTGCAATGAACCACCTGGGAATCTTCTTAAAAAGCAGATTCTAATTCAGTCTGGGGTGTGTGCATTTCTAACAAGCTCCAAGGTCAATGCTGGGCCTGCCAGCAACGATGCTGCTAAGACCCAACATTCATCACAGGCCCCCAACATGCCAGCCCAGCTTGGAACCAGTTCACAACTCTCAGTGAAATGATTCCTTGAATGCTGGTGCATCAGTCTACATTTCTGTAGGGAAGGAGGTCATGACAGAATTTGGGGGACTTGGGGCCCCACTGCAGATAAGGCTTATAGTTATAGACTAGGCTATAGGGCTCTGGTGTCATTAGAGGATCAAGGTCAGGAAAGATGGTGGTGAAGCTACTTCTGTGCATATCAAAAGGGAGGAGTTAGCCAGGTGTGGTGGTACACTCAGGAGGCTAAGGCAGAAGGATCTTTTATTTTTTTATGTATTTTTTTTTTCTGGTAGTAATGGGGCTTAAACTCAGGGCCTCATGCTTGCTAGGCTTTGCTAGATAGGTGCTCTATCACTTGAGCCACTCTACCAACCCTGTTTTGTATTGGGTTTTCTTGAGATAGGGTCTCCCCAACTATTTGCCTTGGGCTGACTTCAAACTGTGATCCTTCTGATCTCTGCCTCCTGAGCAGCTAGGATAACAGGCACCGGTGTCCAGCAGGCAGGAGGATCTTGAGTTCAACGCCAGTTTGGGCCCCATAGTGAGACCCTATCTAAAAAAATAAATAAAGGAGTACTTCACTAGTGGAAACAACCTGGTTTTGCTGGCCACTTAGGTGTAACTTCTAAACACAACTTTCTTCCAAAAAATTAAAAGACTACCTAGCCAGGCATGATGGTGTATGTCTGTAGTGCCAATTATTCAGGATGCTGAGGCAGGAGGATCACTGGAGCCCAGGAGTTCCAGGCCAGTCTGGCAACACAGCAAAATCCCACCTCTTACTGGGTGCTCATGGTTCACACCTGTAGTCCTAGCTACTCAGAAGATCAGGAGGATAGAGGTTCAAAGACAGCCTTGGCAAATAGTTTGAGAGACCCTATCTTGAAAATACTCAACACAAAAAAAGGGCTGGCAGAGTGGCTCAAGTGGAAAATACACAACATTACTTGCTTATTAGGTTTAAAGGAAAGGTCAGCTTCCCTCCCTTGAACTCCTGGGAGAGCTGAGGGGTTTGGCCCTCAACCCCATGTGAACTGTATACATCACAACTTCTTGGCCCCAGTTACCCCCTCAAGTAAATGGAAGTGAAGAGTATGGCTAGGTCAGAAAAGTGGGTTTCACTGGGTGCCGATGGCTCACGCCTAGCTACTTAGGAGGCACAGATCAGGAGGATCTCGGTTTGAAGCCAACCCGGGCAAATAGTTCTCGAGACCCTATCTCAAAACACTCATCACACACACAAAAAAAGGGCTGGTGGAGTGACTCAAGGTGAAGGTCCTGAGTTCAAGCCCCAGTACCACAAAAAAAAAAAAAAAAGAAAGAAAGAAAAGTGGGGTTTCAAAGCTGCACTTCCAAATAAAAGAGCAAGCCTTGCTTTTATGCATTTTATGTAGAGTCAGAGTGGTTAAGAGTGTGGGCTGTGGAGTTAGAGATAACAAAGTCTGTACCAGCTCAGCCACTGACACTTTGTGACACTTTGTTCCACTTTAGGAAAGCTACTTTCCTACTTTCCTTTAGGAAAGCCCCAGTCCCAGTTTCTACTCTGAAAATAGGGTTGTGATGAGGATTGAATGAATTGATGCACTGAAAGAGCTTCGAATGGAACTGGGAACATAAAAAGTACTGATAAAGTTAATTATCACTGCATTTATTAGTTATCATTATTAGATTCAATTTATGTGTCTGTGTGTGTTCAATGACCCCAGCCAATGACTTTTTTTTTTGGTAGTACTGGGGTTTGAACTCAGGGCCTCACACTTGCTTGGCAAGCATCTGCTACTTGAGCCACTCCCTCCAGCCCTACACATTAGATTTTTAATAGTTTTTATTTTTGATGTTGGGCTTTGAACTGAGGTTCTTGTCATGTTAAGCACACTGTACCATTGAGCTATATCTGGCCTTCTATTATTTTTTTTTTGTGGGACTAGGAGTTTGATTTTTAAATTTTTTTTAAGTATCATTTTATTGTACTGGGGGTACATTGTGACATGTACAAAAGTTCATTTTGTAATGACATATTTATAATATGTCATAATTGAATTCACCCCCTCCATCATTCTTCTTTATTGGGACTGGGGTTTGAACTCAGGCTCTGTCTCCAACCTTATATTAATTTTGTTGTTGTTGTGGTGGGACACCTCCAGTCCATTTTTGCTCTGGTTATTTTGGAGATGGGGTATCCTAAACTATTTGCCTCCCAAGTAGGTAGGATTACAAGCATGAGCTGCTGGTGCTCAGCCTTATACTAAATTTTGAGTAACATTTGGGCAACTTTGCAGTGGACTGCTAAGGTATTGGCACTCTGCCTTGGTCGGG